GAGTTTTTTTTACACAATCCTATCCTTAATTTCATCTTAGAATTGATCTTATTAAATATTTATTTAATCTACTTTATTTTTATCAATTTATGGCTTTTCTTAGATACTAGAAGAATTTTTTACAATCTAAAATGTAAATCTGCTAACCATCTTTTAATCTACAAGCTATTAAAACAAAAAAATAAACTAAGATGCTTTGAAAAAAATCTTGTTTAAATGTATAAAATTATTATTGAACTAAGATGATAGAGTACAAATCATAACATCATTTTTGTTTATATTTTCATCGTATAGTTATTTACAACACAACAATGTGGTTTTGACTTTATACATATTTGTAGTTTAGAAACTTAGTTAATAAATTAGCTACGTTGTTGTCTTAGAAAGTAGTATAATATATAAAAATAATATATAATATTATATATATTTTAATTATAATTAAAAATAAAATAAAATAAAATAAAATATATAAAATAAAATATTTATCTAATTTATTTAAATTTATAATTTAAATTTATAATTTAAATTTAATAATTAAAGATAGAAGTTGTAGGATTTATAAGTAAAGAATTTAAAAGGACTTTGGTATTAAAAGTATAATATTTTGATTCCTAGGCCATCTCATGTGGAAAGATAAGATAAGTGATAGAAGATTTCATTCCCTTTAGTTGAAAGTCATGTCTTATGAGCTTTGAGATATTGTCTAAGATCACATTGGAGTTTGGAACCACTTTAAGGCGACTTATTCAAAGACATATTTAAGGCATACCATTCAAAGCAAAACAATCTATTCAAAGTTTGAAGATTGAATTTGAAAAGTTTATATTTTGGAATAGAATTTGGATGGAAAAAATATAGGATTTGGAGTAGTAATGAGAAAGATAGGATTGTTTGAAGTTAGGATGTGAATTTGGTATCTATTTTTATTCTTTTAAGCATATAAAGAATTGTAAAAAAATATTTAATAATTAAAAAGTAGAATTAAAAAGCTGCTTTAACGAACTACATATCATATCAAAAAATTAATACATTCCAATTTAGAATAAAAGAAAGAGAGCTATTGGAAGTTAGAATTCAAAACTAAGATTTGTAAGTAAGTTGCTTTTAATAGAGGTTTCAATTTGGACCATATCTTGAGTTTTTGGACGAATTTTCAGTTCAAAATTTTTATAAGCATAGATAATTATGTTAAGAAGTTGTATATAAAAAATTCATGGTATGCAAGCATTGGATTTTTGAGATATGATGGAACTAGTGCGTAAATGCCTAGAAATTAATATTTTTAGTATCTGCTAGTAATTAGGTAATGTCCAAAGAATTTTAATGAATTTATGGTAGATTTTTTGTATGAAAGTAGTTAAGGATATAAGTTAATTTTTAGAGAATTTTTAATCCAATTGGACAATTAGATTAGAAGTTATTGAGTGATACATATATGAAAGGGATTTCTATAGGAATAGAAGTGATTTTAGGATATCTAGTCATATCTTGGGTACTCTTGTTCATTCTAGACTTGTGTATTTGATGTAATTATTTTCTTAAAGATAAGATATGAATAATATTTGTGTTGTATAAACTTGCAATTTGTTTGAGTAATTAGTAGCAACTAGAGGCCTAGTGCTTTCTTGAAGCAAAGTCTTTCTACTATGACAACAAGTCACACATGTTAATAGCTTGTAGAACAAGCTAACTATATGGCACATTTATAAAAAACTTGCCTTGCAAGTTAAGACATGTGTTTCACAATTTAGACATGTATTGGAGGTCTATAGAATATTATCGTGTAGGTCTTAGTTAGATAGTATATATAGATACAAGAGTGAAGTCTTCTTCTCTCTTGTCAATGCTATTGTATTATGTATGTTCTTTCTTGAGAATGCACTAGGCACCTACTTTTGAAAGATAAGTAAAAAAATAACAACAATCCTACTAAGTCTAATAGAGTCTTAAATAAACTTTAAGTAATCTTTAATAATCCTAATTAAATTTTAACCAATTCAAAATAAATTTAAAAGAAGTTACAAAAAAATACAAGGTAATTATAAATTAATTTCAAAGAAAAAAAAACATTAAAGAAATATAATAATAAACCTTTAAAGAAATAATAATATTCTTTAAAAATATTAAAAATAGAAAATTTTAAAAAAATAATAAAAAAACTTTTAAAAATATTAAAAAGATTTTTTTTTAAATAAATCCTAAATAAATCCTAAATAAATCCTAAATAAAATCCTAATTAGAATCCTATTGAATCTTAACCAAATCTTATATTAAATCCTAATGAAATCCTAATAAAATCCTAATCAAATTCTAATCAAAGTTTAGAAATTTTTTAATTAAATAAAAATAAAATCTTAATCAGATCTTTGTCAAATCTTAATCAAATCCTAATCAAATCTGAACAAAATTCTAAATTCTAATCAAACTCTTGTACAACAATAAATTTTTCTATTTTCACTTATAAATATACTATAAAATTCATAAAATCTTAAAATTTATAAACTTGTTTTTATTTCTAAATATCCAAATCCACCAAATGCTTCACTAACTTTGAAAATCTCCCAAAATATCAATATCTATTTAAATATTATGAAACTAATACTAAAAAATCTCTCCTTAAGTTTGCTCTCAAATTCTATTCTTTGATTTATTAAAGAATCCCCGAGTCATTGTAGATATATGATTTTATGCCTCAAAATTTGATTTTGATCCAGGTTGACAACCAATTCTCTTCAAATATCAAGTTTTTATAATTTGAAGTAATTTTTGCTTCAATTTATTATCAATTCTCTCTTAAAAATGCCTATATTAATTTCTTATCTTAATTATTTTAATTTTGCTTATTTATGCTTCTACAAAGTAAATAGTAGTCCCTTCTATAAAAGATAATATTAAGACTAAATGTTTATTACCTTTCTATTATTTATCCTTATTTTTCTACTACATCTTTCTATTAGGCTCTTCTATATTAAAATTTTTATTTTTATTTTTCACTATATAGTTGTATTATCACAAGACAATGCCTTTCTTATTCTTAATCTAATTTCAAGAGTCTATACATTTTTTGTATAGACATTATGCACTTTTTGTCTTTGGCAATAGTTATTTTAGCATTAATACTGTATTACTTTTGGAGTGAATATTTATTCTTCTTGAGTTATAAAAGAGTGTTTTAAGGTTCTTCTTATTTTGATTCATATCCTTGATAGTTGGCAAAAGTTGGCATCAGTCTCATTTATGAATTAATTCAAGACCTAATTACATGCTTTGATTATAGAATTTTGAGTGAACATGAAACAAGAGTTATTAATTTCTTTGTGAATCTCCACAAATTCTTTTGTATCATCAAAGTCAAAGAAGTCATCTTGAAAGTTTTTTTTTTTTTGCTATTTTGATTTCAAAATCACTAACCTCATGAGATAGGTGATTTGGTGAAATATCAAGTAATATTTCAAAGTACCAAAGAATACTTTGAGCAAATATTACCTGAAAAGTAGATGTTTGAAATCTCCTAATGACTTTTTTTAAATATAATATTTATAGAATGAAAAATGTTATAACCTCTTATATAGAGATTAAACTATAGAAATTTAAATTTTGATTAATATGTTTTAAATTTGTGTCTATTTAATGATTTGGTTTAAGCATAAATTAATTAAACAATAAATAAAATATTCATGAATCTTGTTCTTTCATTTAATAATTTTAAAAAATAAAGTAATGACATTTTTTTTTATTGTGACGAATTATATTTTTTTCTTATTTTATATTATTATTATTATTATTATTTAAAATTATTTAAATAGATAAATTGATTAAAATTTTAAAATCTTGATGAATTTGACTATTAGAGCTAGAAACAGGTATAATTAATTTAAATATTATTTAATAAAAAAATGTTTTTTAGCATTTGAATACTTATATTTTATACTTATATAAGTTTTATTTTTCTCTATATCATTTGAAGCAAAAGAATTGAAACAGTATATAGATTAAAAAATAATAACTTCTATGATATTATTTTTAATAAGTTTATGTATTTGATAAAAGAAGAAAAAAGAAAAAAAATCATATTTTAAAAATATCATATATTGTTATTTATTATTTATAATGTACATATTGTATGTGATTGTATGCTATAATAAAGCCTACTTTTATTACATAGTGCAAAAAATAAAAATAAAAATAAAAAAAACAAACAAACAAACAAATAAAAAAAGTCAATGTACTCTAATATCACCTATAGTATAAAATATAAATTATACTTTAAAAACCCATGCCATATAAAATTTGATGAAAATAAGTAAATTTTAAACTAAAAATTCAACCAATCAAATGCCAAAAATATCTATCTATTTTTTTTAATATCTTAAATAAATTACCAACTTATATAATTATATATATATATATATATATATATATATAATAAATTAATAAAAGAATTATAGTTTTTTTTTATGTATATATTGCATAAATGGTAGATTTGCAATTATTAAAATACAACCAAATTAAACATTGACTTGTAATAATAGTTCTATTAAAGATAATAAAACAAAAAAAAACTTTAAAAAATAAAAAAACATTAAATAATAATAATTATTTATTATTAAATTATAATTTTTATATATATTATTTTAATATATATATATATATATATATATATAAACCACTTGTAATGAATGTACGGCATACCATGATATACATCTTTTTTTCTACTTAAACAACTTATAAAATACAATCACCATTCACATAGTCCAAAATTCTTGTGTATTTACCATTGTTAAGATAATTACCAACATCACTTATCAAATCAACCTTTTCTATTGCCAAATTCCTTCTTTAGTAGACCTAATCTCTTCCTTTTCTGATTAGTTATTACATTCTTCATTGCTAATTGATTCCAAATTTTGTCTTCATTGACATTAATTTCAGTGACATATATTCCACCACAACCACTATTCCTAATTTCTACTATTGCCACAAAAAAAATCACACAATAATAATACAAACTAACTTGACATTTCTCCCCAAGCAAGTAAAAAAATTGGAAACGATCGCTAAGTTCATGTGTGATCCTGAATAATCTATCCACTACAGTATCTTCCCCATTTGATGCCTCCAGGTATGATCGTTAGCAGAGCAAGCAGGGTTTTCATACACTATACACACGATATCACTGTAACTCAAGCTACTCTGAATAGCCGCTGTTAATCGTCCCAAGTTGCTGATTCAGGGTGTGCTCGTTAAACAGACGAACTCTTCTTAAGTCACCCAACGACTGCAAAATCCATGTAGACAATAGTGGCTACACCTGAATGATACAAGAGAATTATTCGGGTTCGAATCTAGAAATATTAACCTATGATAAGGATTGATGAACTGGGAATGAATCATTTCGCAATCGTGTTCGTTACTCAATTTTGGATAGTTTTGTTTTCCGTAAACTAGATTGAATATTCTGATACCAGCTTTGAGAAGAAAGAGGACTGGTCTAGTAGAAGTGCTGTGGGACTGTCGTGCTCCATAACTCTACCTGCCATCCCAAAATCACAGGTCTCTTAGAACTTACTAGCATTTCATAGTATGCAATCAAATTCTTGTGAGAACAAAACATTGATCACAAAGTAGAGAGTTTGGCAACTCAAACTCACCATTATCAAGCACCAAAACCTTGTCACTGTCGATGATGGTTGGAATACGATGCGCAATAGTTATAACTGTGCATGCACTGAACTCTGATCTCAAAGTTTGTTGAATGAGTCCATCAGTGGCGCTGTCCACTGAGGCTGTTGCTTCATCGAGCACAAGAATGCGCGTTTGCTTCAGTAAGGCTCGCCCTAGGCACACGAGCTGCCTTTGGCCCACACTCCAGTTCTCACCATTCTCGCTCACTGCGCCAATCATCCATGCGGGTGTGAGCTCAGGGTAATTTCCTTGTTAAACAACCCCCAATGATTTGACAAATTGCGAATAAAAATCGACTAACACACTGCGTCTGAGTGACCTGAGGTTTCAAGTTTTTGTTCCTTGGCTCGAATGATGTTCCCGAGCTGACATTTGTCTAATGCCTGGTATAGTGCAAAGAAAAAGTTTAGCTACCGCATGTATCTGATACCAAGACCAACTCACAGGTTAGATTTTTAAAAACTAAAATAAAAAATAAAAAAATAAAAGAAAGACATTTCATGTACCTCCCAAATTTCGGCATCGGAATACTTTCCTAATGGATCCAAATTAATGCGCATGTTACCCTCAAATAGAGTCGGGTCTTGAGGTATGATGCTGAGGCTTGACCGCAGATCATGCAATCCTGTTCACCAAATAAACACGGTGTCACGTTTATTGGAAAACTTCACTGAATTCACATCCAAACTGAGATGCTAATTTGTTGATCTCACGAACGCACCTTGTAATGTCTACTAGGTTACAAAATGGAACAGTTCATTACCAATAGTTGAGATGTCCAGATCATCAATCACAATGCTTCCACCTACAGGCTCCACCGCTCTGAACAATGCTTGGATAAGTGTGGACTTTCCGCTACCGGTTCGGCCCACAATGCCTACCCTTTCTCCACCATTAAATGTGCAACTTACACCATGCAACACTAGTGGCGAATGCGCGTTGTATCGCACCTGAGGTCTCACAAAAGAATCTCACGTTAAGTGTTGTTCAATAAAGTTCTGAAGGGGTTCAAAATTCCTTCTAGGTTTCGAGTTGCAGAACTACCTGCAATCTGTTTATCTCAACGGTGCCTTGCGATGGCCAGTCTCTTGCAGGTCGAACATTGTCGATGACCAAGGGGGGTTCACTCAGCAGCTTGCAATATTGAAGAATTCGCTCCATTGAAACCACAGTTGTTTCAAGTTGACACACATTCCAAACAAGCCTTGCCAAAGCACTGCTGAGGCCTGAACCATACGTGATTGCCACTCCGGCTAGGCCTGTCAGGAGAATTAACAATTAATGCCTCCATCTCTAGAAAGAATTCTCCTAGTCAATCAGGAAGAAGTAGGAATCGCTAGTGGCTTACTTGGACTGATTAACCCCTGAGGAATAGAGACCACAAACACCAAACAGATCGTGTACACGAGCAACGACAGAAACTCCATACGCAAAACTAGCCACTCCCGTGCAGCACACTTGTGGAAGTATGCCCTTGCAAAGGAGTCCAAGAGGTCCAGATTAGACTCCATGAATCGTTTCTCCTGGTGAAACCCACGGATTGTTGCTGCGCCGGAAATGGACTCTTCGTAATGATTGATGATAGGTGATTTTTGAATACTGGTAAGCCGAGCAAGCTCTCTTGCTGAAGCAATGTAGTACCTCTGCATGAAAATATTGCGTTGGAGCTAGGTTAGAAGGAGAGAGTGCACTCCATCCCATTTTGATGAAGTCATTAGGTTGCCAATCAGCACCAATCATGAACAAAAGAAAAGCTGTTCACCAGATGATGACTTGTCAACAATGCAATCTGGTAATTTGATGCAATCCTGAGTATTTCCAACGATTAATACAGTAATTGTGCATATACGAGGCCTTGGATGCTCAAAGTCATGGCAGAAAGGAAAGCAAGAACCTGGAGTAGGATGCAACCCCCAAAGAGGGGGACCGCCAACAACAAGACTTGCCATAAAACCGTTGACATAAGAGCAAATATTCCGAGTAGCTGCAAAAATGTATTTACGACTCGGCTCATCGAAAACTGAATCTCTAGATCCATTGTGCTCTGATCTGCTGACATCTAATCCACATTTCGATGTAGTCATCGTCAGCACTGGTATAGAAAGCCTCACAAATTGACGAAGACTTCATATCTCTAAAGCAGCGCCTAAATCCCATGGACAAATTGGGGAACCTCGAAATCATCACATGGTTACCATTAAGCGTGGATGACCATTAACCCACTTTACTGGCTCTACCAGAAATTGAAGGTTCAGAGGGATAGTAGATGCACATACACGAGTTAGTATGCGGCCCGAGGGCGTGGAGTCAAAGAACGACATTGGAGCCCGGAATATTGACTGCAACATCTTGGAGAAATACTTCTGGCTAGTCTTGAGCCCAACAATTGACACCGTCATTGTTCGGAAGAACACACATGTGGTCCCGGAAAACGCTAGCAACGAATACACCGCAATTAACGTTTTCGTAGAAACTTTCGCTGAGCCACCTTCCGTAGGGGAGGTACCCCATGCCATCCAGTAGCTGCTGAAGATTTGGAAACCCTGAAAACCAATCTGGGAAAGGAGATACAGTGGAATTAAGGCGCCCCCTGCAACAGCAGTTATGTACGCCCAGTAGACCTTGTAACTGACCTTGCCTCTCTCCCTTTCCTCTTCCTTGACCAGCTGCCGTGGACGTGCATTTTCATCAGATGTTACTACCTTCTCAGAGGTCGCACAAACGACATTATTTTTTAGATCCGTGCTGATTTTAGATTTGCTCCGTCCAACGTGGTTTTCACCATTACTTGGCTTGTCAGGGGAATCGTCCAAACCAACATCTTTCATGATGTTTGCATTCATTTGCATGGTTTCTAATGCCTCGTTGTGGGCGTTAAGCAAGGTGCTAAAATCAGTTCCAATCTGAAGAAGGTCCTGGAATATCCCCGCTTGAATGATCATCCCATCGCGAAGAACCTGAAACGTTGAGCAGATAAGTCTAAAATCAGGCCAAACTGGTCTCTCTGTAGCAAATGTTACTGTGAGTCCTACCTTCATAAATTTTTTTTGATGGAAACACGTGAATCCAGAACGGTTGATAAGTTGCCCGTCATGCTATTTGGGGCCATCTGGTATCAACCTCACCACTCCATTTCATTTTATGTTATTCAAATTAAGAAATTCAGAGGTCACTAAAAACCCTTTCTCAAGGAAAGAACTCCCGTATCTTTACGGCAGGACAATAATTTATCGCACCCAAAGCGAAAATCAAAAATCTTCAAAAGCACAGATTGAAGAAAGAGGTACCAGAATGTGATCTGCATCAGACAAGGATTCCATCTTGTGAGTGACATAGATAACAGTTTTGGATGCAAGCATGCTCCTCATGACTTCCTGTTGGTTACGCAGGTCAAAGAATCCAAGCAGTAAAGAGAGCGCAAAGCTTTCAGGAGAAATAATTTCAAGGGCGATCCAAGCTATCCATGTAGCTGAAAGCCTAGTGTCTGATAACCAAATAACAAATACCCAGGGCATAGCTCAGGAAAACAACCAAAGAAAAGCGACAATCTCCTGTGAACTATATCCACACTCTGCATGTGTAATTTCAATGCCTCTGTTAACGAAAGAAGATCGACGGCGTAAATCCGAGAATACACGAGCGGTGCACGTTTACAAGCAAACACAGAAGCGATATACTTACTTTCAGAAGATGAGAGCCGGTGTGGGCATCGACAGCACTGAAAGGATCATCCAAATAGTACACATCTGCCTCTTGGTACAAAGCCCGCGCCAGTTGAATCCGCTGCTTCTGCCCACCACTCAGATTTATCCCCCTCTCACCAATACCAGTCTCATCTCCGAACGGGAACAGCGCTATGTCTTTCTCCAAATCGCACGCTTGTAACACCCTTTCATAAAGTGTCTCGTCCATACGTTTTCCGAAGCAGATGTTCTCTTTAAACGTTCCGCTCTGGATCCAGGCTGTCTGGGAAACATAGGCTGTCTGCCCTTCTACTCTCACCTGCACAGGCACAATGCCCACATACTGAGGTTTTGACATTGCAAAAAACAATGGTACTGTCGAAGTCTGAATCCCCATATCCCCCCCCCCCCCCCCCCGCGCGAATCAGGATAGGCCATTTAATGAGGAGCATGCCAACGATTGTATTCTCTATTGCACATTATACGATCCCGTCCATGAGCAGATCCTTGACAAGTTTAGTGTACGAGTGACAAGGATGCCAGAAAATCAAGTTCAATATCATCCATATCAAGAGTAGCTCAGAAATCAACTTACAATCGTCTTGACTAAAAGGTATTAATACCCTTCAAAAACAAATATGTATGAATTCCTACACAATCTTGCTATGGTTGACAACAATCAGTTTATCATCAATATATGCATACCGAAGGGATTCCACTGTAAATCATACCCTGCCTTTCAATTTAGGTATCTCGCCCAACATGCAAGCGAGCAAAGAACTCTTTCCTGACCCCACGGGTCCGCAAACTGCAACGTGTGCCCCTTTTCGCACTCTTACATTCACTTCACGAAGTGTAGGTGGTGACTGTTCGTCGCCAAGGTCAGCATCCCAACTGAAAACACCACCCTCAACTTCAATGACGTTTTCAGATGACCCAAGAACACCATTCTCCACGGCATCTTTTGGTAATTCAGGTTCTTGAGAAAAGAGCAGAAGACGGTGCAATGAAACTTTGGCCTGAGCCTGCATGGCTGCAAGGTCCGCTAAATCTCGGAGTGGCTCTCGAAGAACTCTCATGGTTGCAATTGTCGAGAGTACTCTACCTGGAGTTAGAGGCACTCCAAGAAATGCACACGTTCCAAAGGTTGTTACAGCTACAATCGTTGGCGATGTCCAAAGAAGGAATGTAGAAGCTGCGACCATAAATAGGTCTTTGGCTAGCCACTTGTATTCTAACGCTCTCATCTGCTCAATACGGGACAGATACTCGGTTTCCCATGCCTGAAATGACATAAATTTATCATTCGAATGCCGCCATCGTGAGATCATAGCATTGACGTTCGACTTCAGAACAGATATTTCAGAAATAATGAGAACCACATTTTCATATTTGTAAAACAAATCCAGATGATCTGTGAGTACAGAATCTTAGAAAAACCCCGCTACATTCAGTTACCAATATATGAATATTCGATTACATAAACAGAGGCTCCACAAGAATCTAACCTGAAGCTTCAAGATTCGCATATTCCTCAAGCACTCGGAGGTAGTCCTCATCCGTGCATCCTTTACTTTCATAAGCTGCTCTTGAAACTTTTTCTGTAATTTGGTGAGAGGGACGTTCAACAGCATGGTAGCTATGGTAGCGATAAGAGCTGCCAATGTTGCAGCCAAACCGACAAACTTGTACAAAATCGCTAGCGCCAAACCCACTTGGAGTGGAAGAATCCATATGTCGTGCAGCCACCACATGAATTCGACCACGCGCTCCACATCAACAGCCATGAAATTGATGATTTCACCAGTCGTACGGTTTTGCCTTGCAATGCTTGATAATCTCAAACACTGTTGTAAGAATCCAGCAAAAAACAGACGACAGTTCAATACCTGCATCCATTTAATGACTAATCGACTGGTACATCGACACAGATGATTGAGAGGTAATCACTATGAATTATGAGCTTTTGCACCACGTTTAATACCACACTTTTCAAAGACAGTGAGTCAGTAGCGTCAAGAGATGGACAGATGCTGGATATGAAGTATTTTAACATTAAGAGGAGGATTTCAATCAGAAACCTGCGTGAGATTTATAATCCTAAACGCACCTTTTCATAGAGAGTGGCGGTAAGGCAAGCTCGCACGCGGAAGGCCAGGCGGAATATTCCTAAACAGTAGTAGCGCTCTGCCAAGCTGTTGATGAGGTTGGCGATGAAGAAACACGACACTAAAACGTAGCCTTCCAAGGGAAAACGTTGCCTTCCACTCAGAAACTCCACGAAGTCATTGATCAGATACGGACCTACATACGCAGCAAAAACACTAAATGTTTTCAAAATGCCCGTCAAAATTACTGAGACCCAGAACGTTCGGAGCAAATCATATGAAATTGAGGGCGATGTGTCCGGGTGCATGTCCTTTAGAGTCTGCGAGACTTTGTTGAATTCTTTGTACACCTCCCTGCCTCGGTCTTGAGGGGCAAGGAATGGCACATCCTCAATGTTGAGGTGCTGTCGGTAACCAAGGGCAAGTAAAGGGTTCAGCCATGATATTGTCACCAAATTGAGAAGCCCTGTGGTACTGTAAGTGGTCACATTCTGCTGTTGCTCCTCCTGCTGAAGTTTCGCGTTCAGCAACGGCTCCAGAAGACTGTTCTTCCCAGTCTCAACAACAAATTCGTCCTCAAACTTCGCCATAGCCTCCAACGGTACGCTGAGGGACGCCTTTCGCCTACCGCCTAGAGTGGCGATTTTCAGATCGCTATCAAGTGCTGTAGATTCATGAATAATTTGTCAAAAGAATAGCTTGCGTTCGTATTCTACAGCATAGAATCGGAACCCCACATTTGTAGCCTCAATTCTTTTGCCCAAATTCCGATTAAAGGCATAGTGTGTGATCATTAATCGTTTCCAATCCTGTAAGTTGTAGGTGAGCTGTAATATTGCTTGGCGCCCGCCTTCTCCAAACCTTACATGGCTGCCCTAGACACCCCTCTTAAGTTCGACAGTCTACGCCTGTGTGAGCCTCTCAACCCCCACGCTTCCAGTCCTACTTACATTCGATAGGGGGTCACACGCACACAAACTTCACAAGTCTAAGCTCGTTTCTGATCAAGGAATCCCAAAAGGTAATCGATGAGCGACGTGTGGGCATCGGGTCAGGAACTCTATCTACATGGTCCTGAACGAAATAATAATGTCAAGGTAGAGAGACTCACATGCACAACAAATACTACGGTGACATCAGACTCAGTAAGTACTGTACAACAAATACTACGGTCACATAAGACTCAGTAAGTACTGTAGTCTACAGTAAATACTGTAGTTACGGTGTTTGAAATGTAGCAGAGAGAAACTGCTTATTTTCTCCCCTTCTCTTAGTATATGAGAGATAATCATATCAATATACTCATTCTTGTGTGTTTTATATATATGTGCACATTACTTCTAGCTATTCTAGTATCTCTCTCTAAAACATTCTCAACATGTTATCAATACAATTGCTTTTAAGTACTTAGTCTTGGTTCTTAAAAACTTATGTGTATTTTATCTTTGGTTTTTTCATCAATTTTTTTTTCTCTAACTTGCTGCTTTGTTATTTTGCTGTTGCTACTACTACTATTATTGTATTAGTGCTACTACTCTTGTTGTTGTGTTGTTGTTGTTGTTGTTGTGTTGCTACTCTTACGTTGTTACTGTTTTGTTGCTGCTGCTCCTGTTGTTGTTGTTGTTGTATTGCTCCTACTGCTATGCTATACTATTGTTGTGCTACTCTGTTGTCTTGTTGTTGTATTGTGTTGCTACTATGTTGTCTTATTATTGCTATGTTGAATTGCTCCTATTGTTGTTATGTTGTATTGTTGCTATACTACTATATTGTCTTGTTGTTTTGTTATTGTACTATGTTCCTACTATACTGTGATCTTGCATTGCTATTGTACTTTTGCACATTGTTGCCAAACTATGACATCCTACCACCGTTTGCTGCATCCTACCATTGACTGCCGCATCTTATTGCCATCTGCCACATTCTGCCATCGTTTGTTGCATCTTGCCATTGACTATCATACCTTGCCACCATATGTTGTATTCTACTATCGATTGCCATATCTTACAACCAATTGCCACATCTTGCCACCAACTGCTGCATCTTGCCGCCAAGTTGCCATGCCCTATCGCAAACCATTGTAGATCCTTATTTTTGTAAAAAAAAAAAAAAAAAAAAAAAAAAAAAATCTCATCAAATTTTTAACATTTTGATTTCAAGTTTTAACTTTATCATTTTATTTGGCTTTACATTTTAAGGTGAATTTTACTCAACCTTTTCTACTTGATCTTATATTTTTATTTACAAATTTATTGATAATGAGTGCTTCAACATTCTCTACTGCCTCTATTATGTTTCCAACTATCACCACTACATCCCAATATTTTTAAGCTCTTTTATTTCTACCATTGATTGCTGATGGAAACAATTATCTATTATGGGCAAAAATAGCAAAAACAAATTTATTTACAAAATAATTCTTGGATGCAATTCTATTTGAAGAATCTCCTATTGTAAGTACTTCAATTCTTCTTGCTATGCATTGAAAAGCACTTCTTCTCCTTTGTCATCATCTTGTACTTATATTAAAACATGAATATTTAAAAATGGAAGATCTAACCAAGCTCTCGGAGAATCTTAAATCCAAGTTTGATCATCAAAAGATCATTTTTCTTCTACATGCATATCATAATTAGATACATGTACTTATCTTGGATTTTCCAAATTTAAATACTTTCAATAGAGAAATATATTGTATTGTCTTACAATTATGATTATGTAGATAAAGCATCTTTGAATAAGAAATAATTGATATAACTCTCTCTATATTTCCTTCCACATCTATTGTGCTTGCACAATAATATAAGAACATGAAATTTCAGAGTCATCATGATCTCATGTCCTATCTACTTCTTGTAGAGAAACAAAACAAGCTACTCTTGCACAATGCAGAAGCTCATTCTATTGGAACTATGATTCTAAAATCTCATGTATTTAATATTTTAAAGTGTAAAAAAAATTTATACAAATATAGAGAAAGTACTCATAAGCACTAGGTTAGTTACGGTCATGACCATTTTATTCCATATAGAAAGAATAAACGTTTTACAATTAATTACAGTGAAAAGCAAAAATCACAGATGTATTCTTGCCATAAATGTGGGATTATTGGACATTTGGTACATGTGCCATACTTTAGAATACTTTGTTAAAATATAACAAGAAAATAAGAAACTTTGAGTTGAGGTTTGTGAAGTTCATACCATAGATGGATCGATAAACTCAATTGGTGTTAATGATTTAGAGGCTTATATAAATGACAAAACCTCAAATGATGAATCAAATAATGTACTCATTGATTTTGTAATAATACATACTATCTTGCAAGATAGATGGTTTTTTATTAAAAAAACTTCAACTTGGCAAATTAAAAATTTGATGACTATGGCTAGAATGAATGCATTTCATTTTCAAGAGGGAACAACAATGGTAAAATTGCCTATGGGCTCTATCATAAAATATAAACATACAATGTTTGCATCCTCAATACCTCAGAGTCTGATCAGCTACCAAGATGTGTATGCCAATGGTTATCACTTCTCAATCAAAATTTTAGATAGGTGGGAGGTTTTGGTTCTTAAATAGAACCATAAAGTTGTAAAAAAAAAATTTTGCTGCAACAAATTATTTATATCAAATTGGAATCTAACCTCCTATTATATTTAATTTTGTATCATCTATCACAAAAAGTCACATTTCTCTTTGGCATGGACAATTGAAAAATCTAAAATCTACATTATTTTAAAAGATAATTCCATGTATAATTGGGAATAATTTAAGACTTGTAGATGCTAATTCTATGGAATTATGTTGTACATGTATATAAGATAATCATTAAGGTAAGATGATTGCTTATCCTTCAATTTAAAAACTTCCAAAAGAATTACTACCAATGCTTAAAAGATTGCATGGTATCACAAATATATACCTATTATAATTGTTACTTACATAATATAAATAGGTAGAATTAGATAAAAGTAGATTAATTTCATAATACCTTCTAAAAAAGCTTCCTAAAAGCTTCTTAGATGCTATTTTGACTTTATATATGTTTATAGTCGATTGATAGGTTAGAAACTTGGTCAACAAGCTATCCATGTGTCACATGTATTGATAGCTTGTAGAAAAAGCTAACTATGTGGTGCCTATATAAAAAACTTGCTTTGCAAGTCAAGATATGTATCATACAAAGTCAACATGTTTTTGGAGGTCTTATAGAATGTTGTCACATAGATTCTAGGTAGATAATATATATAGATGTAAGAGTGAAGCCTTCTTCACTCTTGTCAACTCTTTTTTTATTTCTAGTATAGTTTTAAGAGTGTCTAGTTTCCTTGTCTTTTGATAATAGCCATTTTAATTTTCTTTTTAATATACATACTTCTCTATTTCTATTTTTTTGAGAGAGTCTCATTTTTTTATTTACTTTCATTGAGTTCTTGTTCTTGACATATTGACAAGACTGTACTTATAATATTAGAGCTTTGTCTTTTCTTGATTAAGAATAGATTACCTATTTTTCTTGATAAGACATAAGCATATTAGAAGTTATGGATTACCTTCTTCTAAATTAATATTGTTCTTAATATTTCTTTGTTTACAAGTCCTCTCTTATGCTTGTCTTGAAAATCATTAGAATTTTTTTTTCTAAGTATTATTATAGCAGATCTTCTTGAAATGAAGAATGCAATGGCACAAATGTAAGAGCAATTAAAAAAGTTGATACTTGCAATGCATAAATTCAATTTATTGCCACCAAGAGTACCAAAATACCAAAAAATAAAGATATACACATGATTGAAGCCACTTCAATATCTATACCAAATCACATCTCTTCTCTTATAGTAGAATGTTCTTCTAATATTAAAGAATCTAGAATTACCTTACCTGAGAAGTTTGATGGCACAAGATTTAAGTTTTGAGGATTATCAATCAAGTATAATTTGTGATTGAACTTCAATCCCAAAGCTATCCAATGCTAAGATCACAAGTTAGATTCATTAGTACACTTCATTCAAGTTTGGCATTATTATGGTTTTCATCTTTTCTTGAATGACAAGTTCCAATATTAAATAATCTCGAAGCTTTTTTGATGGAATTTTAATCTATGTATGGAGAACATGATGCAATTCATATTGCAACTAATAAATTTTGTATCTTGTAATAAGGCAATCAATCAGTGACATCATATGCTTCATAATTTCAACAATAAGTAATTTATATCAATTAGGATGATGCTGCCTTTATTAGCCAATTTTTCTATAGATTATAATATGAGGTAAAGAAATTGATCTTCAACTTATCTAATCCTTAGATATTGAGTCAAGCAATTGACATTGTTGTGAAGAGTGATAATTAGCTTTTTAAGTTTCAATTTGAAAATTATGCAAGAAAGTCTCTACATTATTATAATTTAATAACAACACCAGTGACCTCTCAATCTAAACATTTGAAAGTTAAAGACATGTAAATTGATGTAATACGTTTTGAATCTCTTATTGAATAAGAAAATATTTATCGTCAGAAAGGACTATGTTTATATTAAAAAAAAAGCTAAGCACATTACTTAATATTGTTTAAAGAAATGTTGCAACCACAAAATAAGGAATATTATTGTCAAAGATGAAAAAATATTGAAAAAAAAAAATTTCTAGCAAGAATAGGAATCATGAGGCTAGAATCTTGTACAAATGAATGTCTTATCTTTTCTTCAAAACTCTCTCCTTGTTTTACAATACATGTGCATTTAGGTCCTAATAATCACAAAGCTTCTACCTTGATAGATTTAAGAGCCTCAACTAGTTTCTTAGATAAAGAATTTGTTAAAAACCATAGAATATTGTTAGTACAAAAAACTAAACCCGTACATGTAGAAGTTATAGATGGCCATTAGTTATCTTTTAGAGATATTATTTATAAAATATTTCCTGTAGATGTAGTAATAAATGGTCATAATAGTTGTATAATTTTTAATATAATTAGGTCTCTCTCTATTCTAGTCATTTTAGATTTATTGTGGCTAAAAAAATATAATCCTTTGATAGATTGGATTTTTCATAAACTTGATTTCCCTTAGAACATTATTAAGAGTT